TGAAAGTGTCACCCCCTCTCCCTCTTTCTCCCTCCCTCCCTCCCTCTTTCTCTCTATCTATAAAGAATCAAGGCTGCTCCAATTGTTCTGTACATTAATACATGATAAATGAAAGAGAGAGGGAGGGAGGTAGGGAGGGCTATAACTAGTCATGCTTTAACAAAAGAATAAAGGTATTAATAATCTACATAATAGTACATGTACAGTGTAGCCTCTTTATTAAGGACACCATTGGGTCCACACTACCTGTCCTTAATACATGTACAGTGTAGCCTCTTTATTAAGGACACCATTGGGCCCACACTACCTGTCCTTAATATATGTACAGTGTAGCCTCTTTATTAAGGACACCATTGGGCCCACACTACCTGTCCTTAATACATGTACAGTGTAGCCTCTTTATTAAGGACACCATTGGGCCCACACTACCTGTCCTTAATACATGTACAGTGTAGCCTCTTTATTAAGGACACCATTGGGCCCACACTACCTGTCCTTAATACATGTACAGTGTAGCCTCTTTATTAAGGACACCATTGGGCCCACACTACCTGTCCTTAATACAGAGGTGTCCTCATTTCAGAGGTACTTTTGTATAGGCTTGTACCAATTGGGACATTACAAAATGTCCTCATTATAAAAGTGTCCTCATTATAGAGGCTACATGTACATACATACATATATACATGTACATTGTACATATGTACATACAGTATACAGTGTATAAGCTCTATTATAGGAAGGGAGGGCATGAGATAGAGGATGTGCTGAGGTCTATGGGGGACAGCACTAGCTAATGGACTCTAACTTTAAGGGGGTAGAGCTCTCAAGAGGTTGATATTAATATTCATAGCATTATAATAACAATAGCTAATGGCTGCAGCCCAGGCTTATGGAAACCACCTACTGGGAGTAGGAGGAAATGGGACATTGGGGAGAAGTGATGAGAGGTAGGCATGGTGTTATCTAGTTACTTGTAGTTGAGAAACACAAACAAATATTTGATTTGAAAGTGTGAGAAGTTTTCATAATTTATCTAGTGATTAAAAGCTAGTCTTATCTATCAGACACTTAAGTTATACAAGGAAACAGGAGAGAGAGAGAGAGAGAGAAAGTATATTATTGACAATTAGCTAGCAGGACACTTTTATAACAAGGACACTCTCTCTCTCCCTCTCCTTCCCTCTCTCTCTCTCTTCCCTCTCTCTCCTCTATTTACAATCATTATAAACACAGTGTTCATGTACAGTATACACTACCTCAGTCTGTTTGTTAGTGTAGTAGTAATGTATCAGCTCATTCTTGTTGCTATACTGAGTGCTTGTGTAAGTGTAAGCTCTGCCTCTCTCTATCCTCCACTGATTGTGGAGCCAGCTATTACATCCAGTCTTTTATATAAGCTATTCCTGTATATTCTATAACACTATCACCCTCTTGTGTACATGACTGTGTATGTATAAGAGAAACTAGAGCTTTAAAGTAGAGAGAGAGAGAGAGGGAAAAGAAGAGATAGAGGAAAGAAGAAAGAGAGAGAGGAGAATTATGGAGGTCATACAGATGTACCTGAATGAAGTATTATGTCTACTATTATGTAATAAAATAATGTGTATACACTACAAAGTCTGTGTGTGTGTGTATGTGTGTGTCTGTGTCTGCTGGTTTTGTAGGTCTCATTATGCTAACTCAATTATAGTGAGAGGTACATGTACACAGACACTTAGAGAGAGAGGGAGAGGGTGGGAGGGAGAGAGGGAGAGCATGGGATATTGATAATACTAGTTACATGTACATAGTATTTTGCAAGTCTTTTGTATAAGATGATTATCTTATTTAATATTTTAATGATCACGTATTGTGTTGCAAGTGGAGAGAGAGAGAGGGAGAGAGAGAGAGGGAGAGAGTGACCCTTTTAATAGTTTAAGTATCAGCTAATCCTAGCTCTTGTTATTATTATTGTTATTATTATTATTATGACATTATTGCTTTGCAGCTGTTACATGTATTTGATTCAAATTTGAATCGAGAGAAAGAGAGAGAAGGAGGGGGAGGGATTGAGAAAGCAAAGCAGAAAGAATATAAAAGAACATGACAGATTATGGAAAAAAGAGAGTGAGAGAGAGAGAGAGACAGGAAAGATTTATATGTGAAGCCAATACTATGTCAATTTCCCTTATAATAAGACAATGGAGACACTTACCTGTATAAGCAACTCTACTTATGTACACACTCACACAATACATGTACATGTACAATGCTTTGGATTAAAATAATATTAAGAGAGAGATGGAGAGAGATAGACAGCTAGAGAAGCCAACCACTATATGCCATAGACTAGTAGTGTTTACTCACTATTATCTCCCTTCTTATCAACCACTGGCGGTCTAAGTTTCCTGCCCTAGATTAGAAGCTCTTCCCATTTCTGCCCTCCCTTTGACTAGCCGATGAATGAGGACAGGTGTTACTCTATAGTGGGAGAGATGGGCAGAGGGTTTTGGTCTAGGCTTTGTAGCTTTGTTAAAAGTGAAAGGATTATAGGCTTTAGTAGCCTCTTGTAGTATTGGGGCTTGAGAAGAAGGAGTGCTGGCCTTTTGGAAATGAATTTCATTTGAGTTTTGGTATAATGATATTCATGCTTCAAAGGAATGAGATTGTGTGTGTGTATAATATAGATGGGGACTGGGTCTTACTATTGTAGTGGGGACTGATAATGATAACTGTTCATTTCTGTATAAAGGTCATATCTGGAGACCTTTTCTCTCTCTCTCTCTCTCCCTCTCCCCTCTCTCTCTCTCTTACTAACTCAGACTAGCACATCTGCATAAAAGTGATATTACATAAAGACCTCTCTCTCTTTCTCTCTCCTCTCTCTCCCCTCTCTCTCTCTTTCCTCTTATTTTTACACTCTTTCATTATTTGGCTTTTCTTTCCTCCATATCTTCCTCTTTCAGTCTTCTCTCCTATCAACTTCCATTACATTTTCAATCATCATCAAACCCTTTTGATCTCAAGCACCCACACATGTACATGTACACAAACACACACTTATATGTGTACATGTACAGACTAGCCTCTATATAATGGAGGCTTTGGGTCAAGGCAGTGTCTCTGTTATACAGAGGTGTCCTTTATGTGGAGGTTATTTTATACAGTAAGGAATGTAATTGGTACACTAGGTGCTGTCCGTTAAATGGAGGTGTATGCTATAGAGAGTGTCCATTAAGAGAGAGTCTGCTCTATATGTGCAAGTACTGTTTTAATCTGTGAAGTCATTATTTCTTAGTAATGGTGACCTTTCTTCATGATAATGTCTATGGTGCATGCTGGATGACATCATTCATTATAAGTGACCATTGTAGTAGTACCTTATGGTGAAGGTTCTTATTGTGATAATGATTATTAGCTTATAGTTATGTATTTTATATCTGTTCTCTCCCTCTCTCTCTTCTCCTCTCTCTCTCTCTCTTTCTCTTTCTCCCTCTCCCCCCCCCTCTCTCTCTCTTGCAGGAATCCAAGCACATACAGTATGTCAGTACCTCTAGCATTCAATTGATTGACTTAAGATGAGCTACTAATTATTATTATTGTTATTATTATTATTATTATTGTTATTATTATTGATTTATTTTAAATCCTAATTTCATTTCTCTATTCTATTTTGTTCTATTTCAGCTACCATTTGAACTCTTCTTTTATTACCCCCCCTCTCTCTCTCACTTGTGCGTGTCTTAAGCTTATGATTTTTCACTGCTTACTATTATTATAATTATTATAACAATTGCTATTATTATTATTATCGTTATTGCGTGTTTTTATGCTAAATTACATATATATTATTCATTTTTTCTTTTCATTACATTATAAACCCTCAAATCTAACTAACCATATCAAATAGAACTATCAAGTTACTTCCACTACATCCACCAAAAGCTCTCACAGGCAGCATAACATACATAATGCACATGTAACTCTACATGACATACTACCATTGTATTAGATGGAGGACAATGTACTGTACTGTATATACATACGCATGTACATGATAGTATAGCCATGTTTGTATCTATGTGTACATGTACATGTGTATTTTATAGAAGTGGTAATGAGGAGAGAGAGAGAAAGAGGGAGAGAGAGTTTATTGCTAATGTGTATTCTACGTAGTAGCACTGATGCGTTTGTTTAAACATTTTGTTATTATATATTCTATGAGGAAATACAATCCATTGTCTTACTGAGCTATTATAATTTATCTAAACTGTAGCTCTAGCACATTGCAGTGCAGTGAAGTCTCCTTGTGTTAACTTGTAGAAATGTCTTATGAATACACCTCAACATTGTGCAATTTAATTCTCTCATATGTGTATGTACAATGTCGGGTTTTATTATTTTAAAGTATGCTGTGTCTGTTGTTATAATTCATTACTAGTTTTCATTGGCACTTTCCAGTCTCTTGCTTTGTGTGTAAATTGTTTTCATTATAAATTATCATTGGAGACAGTTCCAGTGGAGTCTCTGTCCACTCAAGCAGGACAAGGATTATGATATCCACTTAGCAGTGGAAGTCTGAGTTTTCTTAAGCTTAATACATTATGAATACTGGAAACTAGATATACACACTACAGATAAGAAACTAGGCTGCATGCAATAAAGCATTCTTTCTCTTCTATTTTGCTTTAAAAAAAAGAGATTTCTTTTCAGTCCTTCCTTTTGCTTTGCAAATCGCGGGAGATTGCCCGCCACTGGATTGAACACGTGCTCTAGTTTATTAAGCTAATCTAATAATATGTGCTGGTCCAGTACTACAGGTAAAGTTCTATGCATTCACCGGAAGGCAATCTGCAGCATGTGCAGTATAAACAGAGGCCAGCGGGCCGAGCTATCACAGTCGCTGCTCCCATAGCTCTCCTTTCTTCTTCTCTTGTCTCTCCATTTCTCCGACGCTGCGGCTAAAATTTCCAAGTCCCAGAGCTCAGTCTCCATCACTGTGCAACTGCTAAAACTACTACCCATCATCAAGCAATAGGTAAAGCTATCTCCCCCTTCCCTCTCTTGCAGTGTTTAGCCTCCAAATAAACTAACGCCAACCTGTAGTTTGTTTTGTATAATAATAATTAGATAGTCTCGTTGCTCTACATGATGATGCACCATCTTAATCCCAGTGGGGCCTTTAGTTTGTTTTCTCAAGTTTGCTCCACAGCCCTGAGCCAGCCTGCCTGATTGCATGTGTGCATGGCAGACCCACTGATTACTAGCATGTCTGACATATGTTAGCTGGTTTCCCTCCTCCAGTCTCTTGTTCCAACTTCCATAGTAGCCTTCCTCAGTTCTCCTCTTTCATTTCTGGCTATAGTTCCTTCTCCTACTGAGCTCAGTAAAAGGAAGTGGGCTGCAGCCAGCAATGAAATGAGGGAAAGCTTATCTCTTGCAAAGTTCCTAGCCTTCATTTGCATATGCGCTGTGTCTATTTCTTCCAAAAAGAGCATTTCAGAGTTTAGCTCGAGTTTGTGTAGCGGGTGCCCACTCCACCAAGATGCTCCCAATTGTAACCGATTAAAACTTTCAAAAGAGCCTCAGGCTGTAGCGTGTGGTTAGACAACTTCACTGTCTTTCTTTCATGAGCTCTGAAGTCTGTTTTAGCGGGCATGGAGCTAATCCAGAGGCACTAATTAGTCTTCGACACAGGTGCAGCATATGCTAAGCTGTACTGGCATCAATGCTTAGTATTATTGATAAGTGTTAAATGCCTTTGTAGAGGAAATAGGCTCGTCTATCCTCTTTGCACTCACTTAGTCACTATGCACTCTGTCCCTCCTTTTGATAACACTTCAGCCCTGCATGCATTGTCTGTAGAAAATTGATGATCTGTTGCTCAGTATAATGATTTGAGCTGCATTCATGTTATTTTAATGGTTTGTAATCTTTTTTAATATCTTTCTCTCTCTCTCCTTTCTCCTCTCTCTCTCTCCCTTTAGCTATGAATCATAATAACAACAACGATAAGAACATTGCTCCTCCTAGGCCAATAATGGGTACTAATGCTGTCCCTTCTTCTACTCCTCCTCCGCTCACTAAGGCTCCAGCTCCGGCCGAAATTGAGAACCAAGTCAAAACAACCAAGGAAGCCCAGAAAGCTGAAGCTCAGAAAAAGCCAAGAAGTCGTAAAAAGGCCGCGTCTGTTTCCGGTACCGAGTGTCGTGAGGATGACGTGAAACCACCTTATTCTTACATTGCTCTCATTGCAATGGCCATATCACAGTCTCCGAACAAGATGCTCACTCTGGGTGAGATTTGCGATTTCATCATCCAACAGTTTGCCTATTATCGCAAAAGATGGCCTGCCTGGCAAAACTCCATTCGTCACAACTTGAGTCTCAACGATTGTTTCATCAAGGTCCCTCGGGAGTACGGCTCGTCCGGTAAAGGGAATTTCTGGAAACTTCACCCAGCAAGTGCCGAGATGTTTAAAAACGGGAGCTTCCTGAGACGAAGGTATCGGTTTCTTCATCAGCTCCCTCAAAAACCGTACGGTGAAGGACTAACCTCACCCACGTCCCTATCGCCCGGCGCTAATGGTGGGCCTGAGAACGGGTTTGCTCATCAAGGCATTAAAATGGAGGGCGGTCCCCTCCCGATGACTCCGCCCTTTGACAGCAAAGGCCACGTCGCTTACCCCTGCTACACTCACCACCCCGATCAAAAGTTCTTTGGATCAGTTCCTCCGACTTCAGAGGAGTATTTCGCAGCCAGACGTGGGTTTACGTCTCCACCAGTTGGTGAGGTAGTCCCATACGAGTTCCCCCACCTTCCTCCATCCCATAGAGGGTTCCCGATAGCTGCCCCGCCCCCTCATATTGGAGCGTTGCGTCATTATCAACCAGGAGAATGTATAACACAGCCTTCCTGGGCCTACCCTCCTCTTAGCTCGCAACAGTCTCCTCTACCTGCCAACGTTGGGGCTCTACCTCCACCTAGTTTCGGAGGGACGATGGTTAATGGCCAACCGACCGAGACCTACCATTTGGCGACTAGTGGAGGGGCGGCGCAACAAGGTTCGACTCCGCCTACTAGTCCTTCTCACCCGTATCCGTTCTCGGCCCCGCCCACCATGGAATGTAACGGATACCCTCACCCACCACCTCATACTGAGGGACAGCACCCCGCTCTTACTGCTGGAGGCGTCGTCGATCCTGGGAAATTTAATTTCACCATTTCAAATTTACTTAAGCAGTGAGGAGCCGTCCTTTTAATTAGAGACTGTCTGTCGTTTGTCCTCAGGTAGAGTTCTTCCTGATTTTAAATAATTACTTATTAATTATTATTATTATTATTATTATTATTATTATTATTTAAAAGCTCTATTAGATGTAGTAGGAAAATTAGAATTTTTGGAGTGTGAAAATTATTATTAATAATTATTATTAATATTAGAAAGAAAGAGCTTATTATTATAATTACTAGATTTTTAAATATTTAACACATTTCTAATGCACTTTTTGCATGCACACGCATACAATTAAAAAATTCTTTTTTTTTCACTTTTTTTCTCTCGATCCACTAATCATTAATTATTCATTAATCATGACGTTTAATCACCAATCAATTAATTTTATTATTTTTTTTTTTAATCTTAATACGGTTTGAAACAGGTATCACGATTAATCATTATTACTACTGCTCGAGTTTTTTGTATTAATTTTTTCTCTTCGCATACACTTAATTCTAACTAATCGTCAATTTTGTCACTTTAATTTACATTCATAATAACTACCCACTTATTATTATTATTATATTAATTTTTTGGATCACTTTCACATTAACATTATTTTTGTAAAAAACACTCACTTACTTTTCTTCTTCTCTCTCTTCTTCTCTTTTCTTTTGCACATTTTGTCACTTTAAGTTTTGTCTTGTTGTTGTTGTTGTTTTTTGACAAAAATAAAATTTTTTGCTTGAAATTACTGATCGTGCCAGCAAGTGTTGCCATGCAGCTATGGGAAATTATTTCTTGAAAAGTACCCTGTACTATATACAGTACAACCTTCACTTTTGATGTCCTTATGCTATGTAGAAAGTGGAGCTGATTCCAACATGCATTGCTTGAGTTATGACCAGCAAGGCCAAAATATAAAAAATTCCTGTACTATAGCTTATGCTTTTTTTCTAAAAATAGTCCCAATTTTATTACATTTTAAAATACATATTGATCTACTTATGCTGTGTAGAAAGTTTGAGCTGATTCCAACTTAATTTTTTCAAGTTATGACCATTTTAAAAATCGGCCAAAATCTGAAAAAATCCCTGTACTATAGCCCATGGTTTTTTCTGAAAAATGGCCAAAAATCACCTCCAATTTTTATTACATTTTCTGATGCATATTGATGTCCTTATGCTGTGTAGAAAGTTTGAGCTGATTCCGACTTAAATTTTTAAAGTTATGATCAATGTAATAATTAAAGGCAGCATATGGTCTCTGTAATTTTCAAATGACAAAATTTGTAAAGAATATGCAATTGATACAAAGCAACTCTTTAACAACAAAAACACAAATAATAAAATAATAATAAGTACATGTTAATAATAAGACAGAGAAAGAAAGAAGTGATATTTACAATAAATAATAAAAATAATAATAATAATATTGACTGATGATGTATACATAAAACGTATCAGAAATATCAGTGACAACAATAAACAACAAACAACAATAAACAACAATAAACAATGATGATAAATAATATAAACAACTACAAATATAGACATTAGAGACAATTAAAGCAAATTGAACAAGAGAAAATATTATTAATAATAATTTTAATTGTTGAATTCTTAAGACAGCAGAAAGGAGTTAAGACATTTAAATGAGGCAAAATCATAAAATTTTTTTATTATTTTAATTTTCTAAAGTTTTTCGATTTACCGAAGAGGTTTTAGCTCTTGGTTGTGCGTAGCAACTAAGTTCCTGTCACCGTGGACATCATTAGCTCTTGCACTGCCAGTCCAGACTTTATTGTATGGGTTTAGCCACTCCTGGGGGAGAGAGAGAGAGAGAGGGAGAGAGAGAGAGAGGAGGGGAGAGAGAGAAAAGTTATTACAATAATCATAAAAAGAGAAGAAAAGCAAGTGTGACACTATAACAATTAAGCTCAAAAATCTGCAATAATTTTCACATTAAAAAGGAGCACAGTAGATAGTAAGTAACTAAGATACAGTAATTATCATCAAAACTAAAGCCAGTACTATATATGATAATTCATAATATACACAAGTGGTTCAAACCCCATACTACCCTTAGTTCACATTACTACAAGAAGTACATTATGTGTACTACTTATAAGAACTAATAATGTACATGTACAGGTACACAATGTGAAGAGGTGTAGTCCCTCAACTGACTGAAAGTTTAAAGCACACAGTCAATCATACTCCATACAGTACACAGTCAAATAGAGAGAGAATTGAAGGCATACATGTATAGTCTCTATAATGAGATACAAGGATACCTTTATAACGAGGACATTTTGTAATGTCCCAATTGGTACAAGCCTATACAAAAGTACCTCTGAAATGAGGACACCTCTGTATTAAGGACAGGTAGTGTGGGCCCAATGGTGTCCTTAATAAAGAGGCTACACTGTACATGTATTAAGGACAGGTAGTGTGGGCCCAATGGTGTCCTTAATAAAGAGGCTACACTGTACATGTATTAAGGACAGGTAGTGTGGGTCCAATGGTGTCCTTAATAAAGAGGCTACACTGTACATGTATGAAGGACAGGTAGTGTGGGCCCAATGGTGTCCTTAATAAAGAGGCTACACTGTACATGTATTAAGGACAGGTAGTGTGGACCCAATGGTGTCCTTAATAAAGAGGCTACACTGTACATGTATTAAGGACAGGTAGTGTGGGCCCAATGGTGTCCTTAATAAAGAGGCTACACTGTACATGTATTAAGGACAGGTAGTGTGGGTCCAATGGTGTCCTTAATAAAGAGGCTACACTGTACATGTATTAAGGACAGGTAGTGTGGACCCAATGGTGTCCTTAATAAAGAGGCTACACTGTACATGTATTAAGGACAGGTAGTGTGGGCCCAATGGTGTCCTTAATAAAGAGGCTACACTGTACATGTATTAAGGACAGGTAGTGTGGGTCCAATGGTGTCCTTAATAAAGAGGCTACACTGTACATGTATTAAGGACAGGTAGTGTGGACCCAATGGTGTCCTTAATAAAGAGGCTGCAGTGAAGACAGTGTATAATCATTCAAATTTCCAGCTGTCTGGAGGAGTCAGATATTCTAATGGTGTATTCAGGTACAAGAGAGGAGGGATTAAGCTCTTGTAGATTGGCCAGTAACTCCCGCCTTAAGGACATGTTAGTGTGTTCTCATCCACCTGCTATCAGCTATCAATACTTGTACATTAACTATTGTATACTGTAGCACCTACTCTTCCTTTCTCTTCTCTCTCTCTCTCTCTCTCTCTCTCTCTCTCTTTCCCTCTCTTTCTTCTTATAATATAGACACTTTGATAAAAGAAAGTGTCTCTGTTATACAGAGGTGTCCTTTATGTGGAGGTTATTTTAATCTAATTGGTATTACTATTGAATGGAGGCTGGTGCATGCTATAGAGAGTGTCCATTAAGAGAGGCTTGAAGAGGTGCAAAACCAAACCTAATGTACAAAAGCAGCTGTGAATCCTTTTCAAACAAAAGACACACATACTTGTGCACTATGCTTGGCAGAGAGTATCTTAAAGTACAGCTTGTACAAATTTGAGTTTTTTTATTACTTAACCATCAAAGTCGGTTGCCAACTCCATTGTCAAAACACTATCTACCAAGTAGATAGTTTGAATCCTTTTCAAAGAAAAGGGACACGCCCATTCTTTATTCTCTATAGACGGAACAATACTCTATAGCTATCAAACTTGTACGAGTTTTTAACCATCAAAGTCCGGGTTGCCAACCACGCTTTGTAAAGAATAAAGAACACTATGGATACATTACTTAAGATAATGAGGCAGTTGCCAACCACATTATCTCCATTATCATAATGTCTCCTAGCAACTCTCCATACTCTATAGTGATCTGGAAACCAAAGCCTTGAGGTGTTGGTAAGGCACTGCCTAAGGACTGAGGTATCTGGCCACACAAGGCAAAGGCATGCCAGCATAGTAGTATGACTATGATAATAAACCACTACATTGAAGCCTCTATAATGGACACTTATTGATAATAATGGACAGTGTAGCCTCTATATAATGGAGGCTTTGTGTCAAGACAGTGTCTCTAATATACAGAGGTGTCCTTTATGTGGAGGTTATTTTATACAGTAAGGAATGTAATTGGTACACTAGGTGCTGTCCGTTAAATGGAGGTGTACGCTATAGAGAGTGTCCATTAAGAGAGACTATACTGTACATATTGTATGTGACATGTACATGTACATGTATATAAAAACCACATTAATAATCTTTGTCACATAATTAATTACATGTACTGTAGAGGTTTATTTGATTGATGGAAGGGAGTGGTATTGGGTGGCAGTAACAATTAATTTAAAATACCACTTAATAGATATAATATATACATGTACATGTACATGTATATATAACAAAATATTAAGATACATATGGGGATACATACATGTACATAAAGAGTATGTTAAAGGTACATGTACATGTACATATATTTAAATGTTCATGTACAGGTACATACATGTATGCAGTTCTGTATATTTAAATGTACAAGTTTGAAATACTTACAGCTGGAAAGGCAGCCTTCTCTCTTGAGTAGGGGAATGGCCAGTTTGAGGCTGTCACCAAGTACATGGGATGAGGAGCATTCTAGAGAAAGAGAGAGAGAGAAAGAGAGGGGGGGAGAGAGGGGGGAGGTGGTTATGATAATGCAGGTATTGTTGTTCTGTGAGAGTAATTATAGTAAAAGGGGAACATTAGACACTTTGAATTTTTGCTGATAAGAACAATACAAACAATGTCCCCAGCTTCCTGTAACAACTACAGGATATCAATTCAAAATATTATGTACACTAAAACAGCTGCAAGGGAATACATGTACACATACATGTATAAGTAAATGTACATATACATGTACATGTACATGTATGTGTGTGTGTTTATAGGATGTAGTAATATTAATTATAATAATTATAATAAATATTTATGAGTAATTGGAACTATGTACTGGTACATGAGCTGTACATAGCATTCCAGATAATCTAATAATTAATAATAATAAATTAAATAATTAATAAATGAGAGGAGTACTGGAGCGGAGGAGAGGGAGAGAGAGAGAGAGGGTACTAACCTTTAGTACATTGTTCTTAATGTCGTATTTGCCTTCTTCTACTTCAGAGATTTCCTGTCTAATAGCTATGGGAGAGGGAGGGAGAGAGGGAGGGAGAGAGGGAGGGAGAGAGAGAGAGGGAGGGAGAGAGAGAGAGGGAGGGAGAGAGAGGGAGGGAGAGAGAGGGAGGGAGAGAGAGAGAGGGAGGGAGAGAGAGAGAGAGGGAGAGAGAGGGAGGGAGAGAGAGAGAGGGAGGGAGAGAGAGAGAGAGAGAGAGAGAGAGAGAGAGAGAGAGAGAGAGAGAGAGAGAGAGAGAGAGAGAGAGAGAGAGAGAGAGAGAGAGAGAGAGAGAGAGAGAGAGAGAGAGAGAGGGAGAGTAGCTTGATAATAATAATTTCAATAAGTACATATACTGTATAGTTACACATCAAATATATTTCAATAGTAAATAGAAAGTAGACAGGTAGTCTGTAGGAGAGGGTTAGAGGTACATATCACATTCAATAATTATGTTAATGAAATATGAACCAAGTCACACACTAACTACACTATACTACCAATAGTATATAGTACTCACTAATAGCCACGCCCAGTAATTACCACGCCCACTACATGCAAGTGATATGAACTAAATTAAGAAAGTGATTTGTAAAATGCTTTAGTTAAAAATTAATATTAATAGTGTAAAATTATGAAAAAAGAAGGAGCTAAATCTTCCATTGCTATATACAAACTTAATACAGCACTATAGTACAGTACATATGTACATGTACATGTACTGTATAGCGTTAACATTATTTTATACATGTACATGTACATGTATATCTTTCCTGTGAAATGGACCTAGCTACATGTAACAAGGTCTAATGGTTTAGTGATGTTTGGAGTTTAAGGCAAAGGATGAACTATAGAAGGAGAAGGACAACAAAAAACAAAGAAAGACCAAAAACCAAATAATAAAATTAATACTAATAATAATTATTGAATATATAGAAGGAGATGATTACAATGTAGCCTCTATACAATGTACATGTATTTTACTCAAATATGTGACTATAATTGACAAAAAAATACCATATGGTGGATAGTTAAATTGGATAGTTATTTTTTTGGAAAAAATTCACTTTCTAAACCATGGGCTATAGTACAGGGATTTTTCAGAATTTTGGCATTTTTTAAATTGGTCGTAACTTGAAGTCGGAATCAGCTCAAACTTTCTACACAGCATAAGAGCATCAATATGTATCAGAAAATGTAATAAAAATTTTGAGTGATATATATTATTTCGTATTATTACGTACATATTAGTGCGTCACAGTATCGATCCAGTTCTGCCTTTCCTTCACTCTCTGTTGGTTCAATCATCAGAGTATTACTGACTGGCCAGGAGACAGTAGGGGCATGGAACCCTGGGGGGAGGGAGAGAGAAAGAGGAGATTTATTTACATAATGTATGTATTGACATGAAAATTAAGTAATGCGTGTCTTAATTTTAATTTAAATTTTCTGGAGCCTATAGAGCTAAAATGCTGTATACATGTACATGCTTTACGTATTAATTTAAAATTATTAGACTTTCAAGAATTTAAATTTATTATAATTATTATTATAAAATTTGTGAAATCTGTAAACATGAAGTAACAGAAAAATATCTAGAAATAACTTTATTTTTCTCTCTTTCTCTTCTCTTACCATAGTCCTGCATTCTCTTAGCAATGTCAATAGCTTCAATGCCACTAGTGTTCTTAAAGCACCTGGTATCCAGTATGAACTCGTGAGCATTGAATCCTAATAATAATAATAATAATAATAATAATAATAATAATAATAATAATAATAATGATGATGATGATGATGATGATGATGATGATGATAATTTACTTAATTATGTATCAGAAAATGTAATAAAAATTGAGGGTGATTTTTTTCAGCCATTTTTTTTGTAGAAAACCATGGGCTACAGTACAGGGACTTTTTCAGATTTGGGCCCATTTTGAAAAATGGTCATAACTTGAAAAATTTAAGTCGGAATCAGCTCAAACTTTCTACACAGCATAAGAGCATCAATATGTATTAGAAAATGTAATAAAATTAGGGGTGATTTTTTAGCAATTTTTTTGAAAAAACCATGGGCTATAGTACAGGGATTTTTTCAGATTTTGGCTAATTTTTAAAAATGGCTGTAACTTAAAAAATTTAAGTCAGAATCAGTTTAAACTTTCTACACAGCATAAGTACATCAATATGTATCAGAAAATGTAGTAAAAATTGGGGGTGATTTTTTAGCCATTTTTCGGGAAAAACCATGGGCTATAGTACAGGGATTTTTTCAGATTTTAGCCAATTTTTAAAATGGCCATAATTTTAAAAATTTAAGTCGGAATCAGCTCAAACTTTCTACACAGCATAAGGACATCAATATGTATCAGAAAATGTAATAAAAATTGGGGGTAATTTTTTAGCAATTTTTCGGAAAAAACCATGGGCTATAGTACAGTGATTTTTTCAGATTTTGGCCAATTTTTTAAAATGGTCATAACTTGGAAAATTTAAAGTCAGAATCAGCTCAAACTTGCTATTCAATTTAAGAACATGTATATGCATAAAAAATAAATAATTTTCCAAATAAATAATGCATTGTTAGTGCAAGTATACATTGCTAGTATATTATTAGTATATTATTAGTACACTATTAGTATACTCTCTTACCATTAGTTCCACGGAACAGGATATTATAGTGTCCCTTTAGTCTTGCTGCCATGTAATTAGCATTGACTATTGCTATCTGAAAATAAAATAAAATAAAATAAAATAAAATAAAATTATACATAATATTTCCTACTATCATACACTACTACATGCATAAGCATAATGTATATATAATTATAGTTTAGATTATAGTCAGGTAAATTGAAGCAATTTAATTAACCAAATAAAGTAATGTTATAGTTATATTGTAGCTCTTAATAAATTCTTAGATTAACTTATTAATAACCATTATTTATAATAATAAAAATTTTATTTTTGAATATATGCTCTTTTATTCACAATTGCTATCCATTTATCTCATACCAAATACACCATATAATATTATTTTTGTGGGAATTAAATTTTGCGATTTTTGCATTTTGAAAAAATTCGCATAACTAAAATCCACAAAATACCGGTAGCATGCTGATTGTATAGTAGGTGCGGTAATTACATTAAAATTGCAAAATTTTTATTCGTGAATACAAAAATGCAGCTAAATCGCGAAATTTTAAACCAATGTATGGCTTATATGATATTCCTACTCTCCCTCCCTCCCTCTCTCCCTTTCCCTCTCCCCTTCCTCCCTCCCTCCCTCTCCCTCTCTCACTTCAGAAGCTTTCTTCAATCCTTTGCTTCCCATCATTAGTATGTAAGCCCATGAGACTGGTATGATGGAGGCAGAGCCCCATGCTGCTGATGATACTGTTCCAAAGGACTTTAATGGATTAGGACCAGTTACTGGATGACCAGGTAGGTATGGAGCTAAATGAGCCTTACTACAGTAATAAATAAATAAATAAATACAGAAATAAAATAAATAAATAAGAAAATAATAATATTTATAATAATAAATATTATTTATAATAATAAATAATATTAATAACTATTATACAATTATAATTATAAATATAAGTTAAAGTGACATGTTATCACAAATTGTACAAGTGCCTTAGCTTGTATTATCACAAAAAAAGTTATTATAACTATAGTACTAAAAATAGCATGTTCTATTAATAGACACACACACACACTGTCCATATGACACGGTACGTCTACACTCGTAGTTAGAATGTAATGCATTACACAAGGTCTGGCTATTTTTAGTAACACATACATGTACATACTCAATTATGTATATACTGTACAGCTGAACATGTCATCGAGCACGTGAAGAATAAACAAATGGCACTTTCATGCTGATTCCCCAATATCAATTCCCTGCCAATATTTCCACTATACGGTAGATGTAATATCACCACCCACACAATTAATTGAAAAAAGACTTATTCCCATGTTTCCGTACTCACACTCCAATAGGTCCCATTCCCGGTCCGCCCCCACCATGAGGTATACAGAAGGTCTTGTGAAGGTTGAGATGAGACACATCTCCTCCATAATCCCCAGGACGACAGAGCCCAACCTGAGCATTGAGATTAGCACCATCTACATATACCTGAGGGAGGAGGGGAGTGAGAGAGAGAGAAAGGAGGTAGGAGAAAAGAAAGAGTGATGATGATGTACATGTATATTATGATGATGCACATGTATGAGTTAATATCTCGACACTGAAGATAGTTTGAATTGATATCACCCAAGGCTGAAGGCCCAAGGGTAATAAGTACTTGAGGTAGAGGCTGTATCAGCGTATTATGTACATGTACATGTATACGATACCAGTACTATTTCATCTATGAATCTGATTAATGAGATATGTATAGATTATACAACAACTGCTTTATAACAACTTTGCTATACAATGGAACAATTAATTAAGTCACGCCACAACAAAGCAACTTCAACGTAAAGACAGACAAGAAGGAAGAATGGCATCAAGATCACCATTAAATTTTGATAGCTGTAAGATTTATAGTGCATTGTTTAATGATCCAAAAACTTGTAGATGGCTGGGAAGGGTTTCTCAGAGACATGACTTCAATAAAGACAATAAATGAATCAGGTGAGTTAGCAATAGAGTGATTATTATTAATTCTGTATACATTATACAATAGAGTCATACCAGTGTGAGCCAGGAATCTGTGTTTTTATTAATAACACAGAATTTTATGGTGACGGATTAGACAATCTTCCAAGTGGTGACAAGGATGAAGCTAGTGTAAAGGTCACATTTAAAAAACTTGGATTTGATGTCAAAGTCCATCAGAATCTAACAGCAGCAGAAATAAAATCTATTGCAGATAGATACAGTAAAATGGAGCACAAAGGAGCCTTCTTCCTCATTATATCCAGTCATGGAGGAGAAGGTGATGTTGTCTATGGCACTGATGGAGAAGAGGTCAAGGTTCATGATTTGGAAAAGCGCTTCCATGCTACAAATTGTCCCTCTCTTGCTGGAATACCTAAAGTATTCATGATTGATGCCTGTCGTGGGGATAAAAAGGAAAAAGTTTTTTCATTCCCATCTAAATCCCCACCTCCAAGTGCTAATGCAAGTGCTACTAGTAAGAACATAAGAGATGCAGCTGATATCATGACAATATTTGCATCAACACGAGGTCATACAGCCTCTTACTACGACAAAAATGAAGGCAGCATTTTGATAAAAACATTTGCAATAGTTATTGAAGAAGTTTCTGCTGATAAAAATCTAACCGACATAATAAAGAAAGTCCAAGGTAAAATTGAAAAATTAGTAAATGTACCAGAAGAAGAAAGAAGAGTACAGACTATACAAATGGAATTATCTTTTTCTAAGCACTATTATATCAAAAGGTTTGTTTTTATATTTTGCTCCATTATTTATTTTTAATAGACAACGCACGCCATCAAATGCATTAGTTAGGCGAGATGCTCAAACAGAATTTGAGCTACATAGAAAATTTCATCAACAGCTAACATTTGGTGATGCTGAGAGTTTAAGAGTAACCAGAGTGCAGATGTACACATACAAATTCTAACTTGGATATTGTGTGCTAATTTTTTCTTCTTTATTAAACTATCTTGCTATTAATATGCTATGTGTAGAGTGTTTTTTGATAATTATTTAACAAAATTCTGCATTGTTATGTGTAGCCTTGGAAACTATATTACGTATGCTTGCAGAAAAAAGTGGCAAAGGATGATAAAGACCAACAATGATGGTATTAATAATATTTTATAAAACCTCTAATATGATTATGCTGTTAATTTAATTCATTGCTTAAAGATCAAAGAGGAAAGTTGTGTAAAGCTGGTGTTTGTACTACTGCATATTTTATAAATCTGTAATGCCTGTATCTGCTTACTATTGTTGTATTTCAGCAGAGGTAGCTATAACTAGATGTACATGTACAATGTATATCATTTCCACACTAATACACCCATCCTTTTACCTACTGTATTTAATGAAAAAAAGTTGCACAACATTATACATATTCTGTTCTAGTGAAAAAAATTCAACTTGCCGCATTCCATTGAAAATTAAATCTATACACAGAGTACAGAATTGTTCTGTAATTTTGCAAAGAATGCTTCTTTCACAGAACATACAAAATTTGAATATACTGATTTGTCAATTATAGTCAGAAATGATCTAATATAAATAAACACATACACGTAAGTTGTTTGTGCTTTTAAACTATCAGTGGGCTAGGTTGTCTTGTAGCTAGCCTGGCTATGCAAAACTATGTACTGGAGTGGAGGAGTGAAACAAGCTGCACTATTAGGTAGCTAGCATTATGCCATAACAATAGAATGGTAAGTAGGAGTGAATAAACAATTATCACAATACATGTAGCGCCGTAAATTGTCTTGCTATTGCCACAAGTACAGCAGGTAGATGTGAATTGAAACTGTTTTAACTGTTTACATGTACATTAAAATTTTTGAATATTACTGCGATTATATCATTTTACGCTTAAAAATCATTGAAAAATCTTTCACAAATGTAATTAATAAAATAAGTGACAATGAATCTTTGCAGAGTATGCAGATGTAATGCAACCATAAAAATGTGACACAGTTTTTAGAGACACATTGTCATCTACATGTACAATGCAACACACTGGCTTGCATGAAGAAGCAAAGCTCAGAACTATATTTAGGCAAATTTTCATTGCTAACGTGTACAGACGACATGCAGCTGCATGATGCAGCTTTTAAGGGGAAGTTATTGTTACAGTAACTGTCACAAGCATGACTATACACTTCACAGTTTGAACAATGTAATTGTTCGTGACAATCAAAGCATGCCAGGACAACTATATAGCAGCTTCAAACAAAGAGGATAATGGTTTAAACAAAACAGGGTACATGTACATGTATAGGAATAAGATTTCTTTACCTGTCCTCCATAATAGTGTACCATGTCACAGACCTCTCTAATGGAGTCTTCAAACACACCACAAAGATGTAACAAGTGGCGTGGTATGTAAATCACACTACATTTCTAGGAATCTTTAGTGAAAGTCAAGTTCAAATACATTCACAGTTTCTTATTATAATTACATGTACTGTACATTGTAGATGAGCTACTGAGGTGATGTAAGGTGGGTGGGTTATGTGTGAAAAAGTTAGTTGACAAGTAGATACAAGAATGGCTTCATCAGATTCAGGCAAGTTTACCATTGTATTAACAACAGGATGAGTATCATTTGTATAATAGATGCATATCAATGTGGTCCAGGACTATGTGTTATTATTAATAACATGAAATTTGATGCTCCAGGATTAAATGATTTTACAAGTGGTGAGAAGGATGAGGCTTTGGTTTTTTCCAAAAATGGCTCCAAAATCATACCAAATTTTTATTACATTCTTTGATACATATTGATGTCCTTACACACCTCTACTGTACATATTATGCATACTCATAAAATTACATGTAATTCTGTTTTGTCCTCCTTAGGCCTGAGACTGTTAGGTTGGACTATCAATAATGAAACTGTCTTTGATACAATAATGATGACATTAGCATTAACAGAGGAGGTGTGACGAAAAGAAGATAAACATACGTCACTATGGAGATGGGACTGTTAGTTATTAATGTAGTTATTAAGTATAGTTATATTATTCTACCATGCCTAGTTGCAATTGACCAATCAGATTGCTTGCTTTTAGGTTCATAAATAACTTATTTACCACTAGGAGGTTTGATAAGTAATTTCCCTGGTAATAGGAGGTTAATAAGTTTGCCCGGGGGGTTGATAAGTTTGTCCGGGAGGTTAATAAGTTTGCCCGGGAGGTTAATAAGTTTGCCCGGGAAATTACTTATTAACCTCCTGCTAAAAATAGGCATGCATGCAATGCTGTTGGTAAGTGTTGCTAAGTAAACTAGTTGTTTATTTTAGTACATGGTAGAAGTTGGTTATACAACTCTGTGTCGGTATCTATGGCCTTATCATACCTCGGGCCTACGGCCCTCGGTATGATAAATGCCATAGATACCTCACCTCGTTGTATAACCTATACGTATAGTTATTAAGTTTAGTTGTTTAGTGTAGTTATAACATTCATACACAGGTAATGTGGCAGCATTTGCAGAAGTTTTGAAAAATGATTGACAAGTTTATAAAAATCATAAGGAATAGTCATCAAGTCAGGCTCAATATATTTACTGTTCTAGGCACTTGTGAAAAGTAGCACGTTTGTTGAAAAAATATATCATATAAAAATTTGCATTGGATGCAAATAGCCAAGTTATTACAGTTTTATTTTTATTGCTGGCTTAATAAGGACATGCACATGACATGGAGTAATGCAAACTAAACCAGTCACACCACAAAAAGCAGCTTCAACAAAAAGATAGACAAGGAGAATCATGGCTTCAAGGGCAGCATCAGATAAATATTTTTACAGTATAGAGTTTAATTAATCTATTGATCATTTCAGTATCACTGGTAGTGGCCATGAGAGGGAGACACCTTATCTAACTCATCCTGTCTTTAATAGGTAACACACTGTCCCCTCTCTCTTTCTTCCTTTTTTTTCCTTCTGATTATTTGCTTTATTAGTATTATCATTCATTTATCTATTTATTCATTTCTTTATGCATTAATTTTATTTACATGTACTTATTTATTTATTGTTAGTATTATCATTCAAAGGCTAAGTTGTTATGTTACATGAAGTCACTCTATGATACTACTGGTAATAATAATGATAATAATAATAATAAGTACATGTAGTTCTATTTACTGTACATGTACATGTATAAGTACAGTTTAATTTTTTATACAGTTTAATGATAGATCATAGATTATTCTTAAATTTCTGCCTATTAGCCTAGCAGTAATTTTCTTGCTTGATAAATTTACTCAAGAAATTCCTCCACTTACACATTATAAGCAATAAACATTACCTCCCTTTCTTCTCAATTCCCCCCTCCCCCTCCTAGGGTTCCGGATCCTGTACTATGAAACTCAACCCTATCAGTGCTCTACTCCCAGTGTCCCTGCCTCAGTTCAACACCATCCATCCATATGTACCCAGTAACCAGACCACTGGGTATCATGGATATCATGAGCCTCATGGCAGCTCAAGGGCGTCGTATCTGGGGGTCTGTAGGATTTACCAGAGAGCAGACATACACGTTCAGATTCTAGCTTTTATATTGTGTGCTAATCTTTTCTTCCTTTATGCTATTAATGTGTTACTTGTAAAGAGTTTTTTGATAATAATTATTATGAATTTTAGCTGTTGTACCCATACTATATGGTAAGTATGCATGTGCTGTGTATGAATTCAACTGTGAGGTTGGTAGTCACCCCACTAGTTAAGTTACTATAGTTATTAATCAGCTGATGTCATGTGTATATAAAGGAATCAGTATACAGTCTGCTACTACATATCTGGAAGGTAGGAACGACTATTATTTCTAAGTTAAAATGCCTTTCGTATCAGTCACTCAGATAGAGGAATTCTTTACAGATTTACATTCAAAGCTGCCAGGCATTGCAAATGCTTTCGGTAATTCTGCTTCCGAAGTCAAAGCATTGGTGCAAGAGGCAAAAGATGAGCTGGATGAAATACGTAAATGCAATGAAGTGAGGCGGGTACATGAAGTAAAGGTTTCATATCAACATTTGAACAGCACCATGGAAGCAGTTCACACATACCTTGATAAAGTTGATGATCTTTTTTGGAAAATTGACAATAAGACTGCTACTGTAATACAAGACGTAGAGGAAGAGGATTTCAAAAGTGTTGCACAGTTGATTGTTGAAATCAACGAAACAATTCAAGACTGCAAGGAACAGTGTGCAGTACTTCTTGAACGTTGTCGAGAATTTGCGACAAGTTGTGATAGAGCTGAAAGAGAGTGCAGGAGACTAGAAAATGAAGCAGAAGAGAAACAATTGAGAGCACGAGTAGCTGGTGGAGCAGCTACTGCAGGAGTAGCAGCTGCTGGTATAGCAGCATCAGTACTAATTGGAGTATTTACTGCCGGGATTGGAACTGCTATTGGTGTACCTCTTACAGTAGCAGCAACAGCAGCTACTACAACTGCAGCTGGAGCAACCACAATTATTCTTTCTCACAAGTTTGGTAAAGCAGCAGAGTCGTTTGGTAAAATAAGTAGAAGATTCCAGAGACTTCGGAGTAACATAAACACCACACAAGATAGAGTAAATCGAATCATGAGTCTTCCAGGGGTTAATTTTGAATTTAATGAGCAGATCTCAGTAACAATATCTGCATATGGCGAACATTTCGGTCTTGTTAGAGCTCTGAGGACTACTCAAGATGAAAGTACAGCATTGTACCATCAGACTTCTAATGGACTAAGCATTACAGCAAACAGTAAAGACTCCTTGCGTGAAAAGTATCAAAGCATATATTAGTAACATTAAAAGTAACTGTTTGATTTTGCAACAAACTTTCTTATTAATAATTAATATTATTTGTATTGTAGATGTTTTTTATAGCTATAATGATATGATAGTTTACATTTAAAAATTCTATTAATTTTTAGTAAGTATATGACTTATGGCACTATAAATAATTAGTTATATATTGTGACCATTGGTTCTTTACTCCTTCATCTACATGTACTCTATTGTCATGGTATACACATAATGACAGCTACCAAAACAATAGTGCAGTGTTTCACTCCTCCACTCCAGTCCATAGTGTCATGTAGTCAGTAGAAGGAGGGAAGGGCTAGCTACATGTACATGTATGTGAGATATATCTCATAATCAACTAAAGGTGGGTTCTTGCGCTAGCGTCATGACTGGAAGTGCTATATAAACAAATGGGACTAATGTATGTGTCAGAATAGAAATTTTATCCTGAAACCGAGGATACTTTGAACTGATATCACCCTTGGGCCGAACCCACCTTTACATGTACATGTGTGTGTATATACATGTACGTGTAATGCCTTGTCAGTTTTTTAAATTAAAAATTTAGCACATACGATTGAGTATGTACATCAGTACATGTTTTTAAACAGCATGCAGCTGATGTCATCATGCAGCAACGACTGATGCCCTTGCATGCAGGTGACACAATGAGCTTGCATGAACATTGAACATGTAAGCAAGGCCTAAAACTTGAAAGACTATATTTAGGCAACTTTTTATTCATGCTAACGTGGAGAATGCATGGACAAACATGAGTAGACAACATATAGCTGAGACAGCTTTGCTATAGTAACTGACACAAGCATGACAATACACTTCACAGTTTGAACAATGTAATTTTTTATGACAATCAAAGCATGCCAGGACAACTATATAGCAGCTTCAAACAAAGAGGATAATGGTTTAAACAAAACAGAGTACATGTACATGTATAGGAATAAGATTTCCTTACCTGTCCTCCATAATAGTGTACCATGTCACAGACCTCTCTAATGGAGTCTTCAAACACACCACTAGTGGAGGGATAGGTCACCATAATGGTGGCTAACTTATCACCAGCTTCTTCTATCTAGAGGAAGAAAAGAGTGAGGGAGGGAGGGAGAGATGGTGGGAAAGGATAAAGGATAAGGATAAAGATAATAAGAGTATGGTTATGATAAGGGAATGATTATGAGAGTAACAATCAAAAGTTACTTCCCATTTCAAATCTAACTGTACATGTATATAGGGCCTAGGCCTAGGCCATCTTCTACATAAAATTAGAAAGTTACAGTGTGCATATAACGTGCATGTACATGCAATAAATAGAAATAATTTATTAGCACATTTGTCCCCCATCGTTGATTTTATTATATTTACTGCTATATTATGGTATGTAGTCAAAATTTAGATAATAATCTTAGGCCCATTTGTCTCCCAGTTTCTCTCTCTTCCTTTCTCTTACTTTTTGTTTAAAAGAGTCTTTAGTGACTTCTCCTTCTTTGTTCATTGGTATCTCAACCACTTTAAGACCAGCCATTATTGCACTGGCTGGGTTAGTACCATGAGCTGAGGCTGGTATCAGACATATCTACATAATAATAATAATAATAATAATAATAATAATAATAATAATAATAATAATAATAATAATAATAATAATAATAATAATAATAAAGACACATTATATGATAATTAATATACACGTACATGTAATTAACACACATTATGAAACAAAAATATTCAACACAGATTAATTTATTGGCAAAAAAAAAGAAATAACCTCATTATTTTATCACAGACGAATTTTCTAGATACGTGTATTATCACTCTTACCAAACAAAAATCATCTTGGATTTACATACATGTATACAGTATTGCATGAAACTCATATAAAATATACATGTACTCTTAATCTCAAAGTGGGTGTCACTTACATCTCTCTGCCCCTCCCCTTTATCCCTCAGATAGGCCAGTATAGCACAGAGTCCAGCGTATTCCCCCTGGGCCCCACTGTTGGGCTGGAAGGAGAACTTATCATACCCAGTGATACTACACAAATGAGACTCCAACTCATCAATGAGACTCTGGTATCCAGTGGTCTGGTTACTGGGTACATAAGGATGGATGGTGTTGAATTGAGGTAGGGAGACTGGGAGTAGGGCA